TAACACTGCCTATTAAGTATTCAACCAAATCCATATTCATGGGCTCTTTATGTTATCCACCTAATAGCGACGAGGAATGGGTAATTCTTTCTACACGGACAGTATGCAAAGCGTTTTCTGGAATCCATGGCCGTGAGTGCATCTGTTAATTTAGTTTAAAATAATTCGTAAAGTGATAGTTTTTAGAACCTAAGGACGCACTATTTAAAGTATACGATTCAATGTCGCGTGCTCTTCTGCCGAATGAGCTGAATAGTGGTTTTTTACGTTTTTCTCTTGTAGTATGTTTGAATTCATGTTAGTGTCGAACATCAATAGGGAAAACACATACAACTCAGTTGGGCGTGGTTTATCGAATGCGAGTTTCGCACGCGACCGAAAGTAGGTTCTGTTATAAGACGGCATCCCTGCGTGACTAAAATCTTATCACCGGGTTAGGCTGCACTGAAAGCAATATTACACCCTAACGTAAGTAATCTTTTTTAATCGAAAGCATTTCACGATTCCTGTCAATATTTAATTTGGTAAACCAGCTTATGTACTTAAACCTTCGAAGATGAGGCGTCGGCTCATAGCTGCCAAGTAAGTATCAAATGATAAATTTTGTTAACTTTTTAGAGGTAATTGCCAACAGATAATTTTGAGGAACTGCCTTTAAAACATTCCCTGTTGCGTTTACCTAGGAGGTCCATGGATTAACTTATAGCACCTACAGTGTAACTCCAGAGGTAATTCAATTTTTTTCGATAGATTGCGTCTTAGAACTGGTCTGGTTTTCCCCTCAAGGATTGCCATACTAATAAGGATGCCTTCCAAAAAGCAAGTAAGCAGGGAAATTAAACATCGAGAAAGCTTAAAGTATATCGGTTAAAGACTTGTAAGTCTTCATGAGTCATGCACTAGTGAGATTTAGATGGACGCAGATTGCTGAAAATATAGTCCGCATTAAAATGAAATGTTAAGAAAGATCCGTCTTGCATGCATAAGTGATGAAAAAGGGTGGTCGGACACCGGAACATTTCGTTTAGTTTCTGAGCTTTCGAACTCATGCAGAAGTCCATCGTCAGAGATAGTAGCAGCAACAGAACAAGGGACAGTTATATGGTATGTAAGCCAATCATTGACCGACGGCACAAGACTAGAGGTGGCTGCGCAGGGCTTCCTACGACAGCGCCAGATCAATAAATTGATCGACTGAGTTCTCATCCGAGGCCCTGCCCTCAGCCAATTCTCTGTCTGTTTTGCTTCCTGCGTTGACGACTACTTTGGTGGCTGCAAAGTTAAACTCACGACCCGTTTCGTAGGTGTGGGCGACTACTTGTGGTAATGCGTCGATTCGTCGCACAGTCAGCCTATTTTCATGTACGCGCGATGCTAACATGCGTCCGGTCTGGCCTGTGTAGTGACAAGGACTCTTTTGGCACTGGATGCAATACGCTGTTCCAGATTGCTCCTCAGACATTAACCCGTCTTTAATTTTCTTGACCTTATTGCGCATGGTATCTATGGGGCGGTGTGCAATTCCAACACCTACTTCCGCAGAGATGTGCTCGGTTGCACGTGAAACGTCCTTGATGTATGGCAGAGAGTGCCACATCCATGGTGGTGTTAATATTTGGGTCCTCTGGGGACGACCGCGCAGGCAGCGACTTATGAAGGCCTTCGGATAACCAGTTAACATAACCTGGTCGCGAAGATAACGGGCCTCACATGCTCGTCCCTTCCGTATGCTGAAATGAGTTTGGATCCGTTTGAAGAGAGTTTTCGCGCAGCATCGTTTGCGAGCCACTGAATTATTGCTCTGAAAACTGATAATCTGTGTGGTGATCGTTTCCTTCCTATCAACCGTCGCTTCAAGTTCACAGTTAAGGTTCCGTCTGACGAGCTTATCTAGGAAGGGCAACTGCTGTTCCTGTTCTTCTTCCCCAGTGAATTTTGAATCAGGGGACTGCGTTGAGTGGATTATGAAAATGTTGTAGCATGCCCTTCTTTTCGATAACAGCTGTGTCGTCTGCGTTACGGAGCCAACATAGTGGGTAATGTTGAATGAAGCAATCTTTTCTAGCTCCTCTAGGACCAGTTCTGCCAGTGAGCCTGTTGACGCTCCCTTGATTTGCCCATAAGCCACTCCAGCAAAAGTGAAGGAGGTTTGTTGGCAGAGTTTAAACAGCTTCATGAGGTGTTCGATTTCGGCTGCATTCTGAGTCCTGTCGTACACCTCATCAAGTCACTTGTGCAAGACTTTGCAGGCAATGTTTGTTGGGATGGATGTGAATAACGACGTCAAATCGAAGGAGATCATGATTTCATCCGATTGAATCCTCTGACCTCGGAGGTTTATGAGGAAGTAAGAGGTTAATCGAACTGGTGTTCGAATTGTCTTGGAGGAACCTCAGTTTTGAGTGCATCCACTTTGCCAAATTATAGGTGATGCTGCGTTTTAGGGCAACGATTGGCCGCGGCAGAACATCTGCTTTATGTATTTTTGGCAGGCCGTAGAATCCAGCTTGAGCGGTACCAGTTGCCTTCATTTGGTGCCCTTCGTTGTCCGTGATCACATTTTTGTGCCGGTGTCCTCAAGGCACTTTACTCAACCAATCTGCCACTGCTTTAGCTTGTAAGTTCTGCGCTGGTCTAAAGAACTCTCTGTCATCGAGAAAGGTTGTAACTTTTTCATCATAGTTGTCTTGATTCATCACGACGGTTAATCTTCCCTTGTCAGCAGGCAGAATGATAATTCTGTCGTCGCTCCTCAGTTCCCTCATAGCTTCCGACTCACTACGCGAAATACATATTTTAGCACCCTTCGCTCCTGAATTTTGCGTACGATCCTCAATACACTTGCGTTCTGTGCAAATACTATACATCTTTAAAAATAATTTAAATGTCCTGCATCAAATTTATATCCTTAGTTCCTATTAAGTACTGCTCCAACTTCTCGCTAGATAACGAAGCATCGAAAACAGAGATAGTCTTTTTGAACGGAATATGGGATTTTATTACATGCATCATCCATGAGATTACCACATTACATTCGATTTTTGACGTTAACATAAATATTTCGACAAAATATAACTAATCTGATAAGGCTGAAATTTAGTTTCGTCAGAAAGCGAATGATTTAAAGAAATCGAATGTATTTATTTCAGCAAAACTGTAGATTAGAAAGGGGTTGACCTTAAGCTATGAGTACCCTACTTTCTTGTGACTAGCCGATACTAGCTAGCACGCATTCGTTAACAGAAGGCTGTTTGTGGATACAAATTCCTTAAGAAAACACTGTCAGAAAGTGCAAAGGTCAGTGCTCAGTCATCAAGACGAGTGGTGAGATAACTTGCACAAAGTTATTCACGAGTTCGGTAATGGATAGTACCTCGACGTAATTTCATTTACTTACCCATCTGCCTTTTGCAGAGAGGGGATTCCTCAGAGAGCTCACGTGGATCTGTTAGTTGTTTGGTGCCCCCGACTTTACAGATTGTCCCTATACCTCCAATCCTCGAAGATGAAATGTCGAAGTGAGCATTGCCACCGGTGTTACCGTTAACGTCGATCGGGGATGCGGTGGTCTCAGTGATGAGAGCGTTTGATTTACAAGTATCGTTGAACTGGTCCGGCGGAACGCATTGCCCCACATTAAGTGTTTTGTGTTGAAGGCGTTGACGTCGTTTTCTGTAAACGCGCAACACATCGCCTCTGAAGCTATAGTTCATTTGCTGACTTGGCTTTCTCAGACAGACCATCCTCTGACGATGTAGTTCTACTATAAGTGTCAGCGTCAGCCATAGACTGAGTCCACTCAGAATATAAGTCAGCAGGCCTTCTATTTTGTAAAAGAATAAAAAGCTTGCAGAATGTCGCCATATCAAATTAATGTAGGCTTGAGTTCACTTGTGTAATAAAAATTAACTTATACTTGGCTGGCTACAATTTACCACAAAGTTACATTTTCCACGTGTTTGGGTGTGCGCAACCTATATTATTGGCGAAAAAAGTTGACATCATTAAGATTTCGTTTAATGGAATCCTTTTTCTGCCAAATTAACATATAAAGATAATCTCGTACCTATATATACCCGTCACCATTATCCCCAATGGTCGACTACGATAAACCGCAAACTGCTAGTGAGAGCAAAATGTTTTTTACTAGATGACAACGAAGAATTTGACGCCACAATGATTTAGGAAAAGGCAAGTTGATTACACCGAAAGGAACAAAAATTCGAATATTGCGCATAGCATTTTTGTCATATTTGTCTCACATGAATTCATAATTATCTTTAGACCGTAAACAGGGAACTTCATTTAAAGTCAGGAAAGAAGGGCGTCAACTCGCACATGTATAGTTGAATTAGGTAGGTGACCATTACTTCATGTAGTAAAAAGGCATTTAAAGCAATCATGCCACAGTTTGTGAGTTTTCTTTTGGAGCGTCTTCTTTGGCATAACTCGAGTTATTGATTTTTTACAAATCGTCATATTTTAAATGTCTTTCTTTACTGAAAAATACCGCTTCAGAATGTCCATCACATCTCGTTTTAAAGTTAACTAAGCGAAACGAATAACGCAGGAGACATGAAGAAAGTCTGCCAGATAAACGCTTAAAGTAAGAGCACGTGTTAAATGTGCCGAGGATCTAGACAAAACACACAATAATGGGGCAGTAACATAGCAACGTAGTGCCTCATAACAACCTTTACAGCATTATAAGTATCATAAGCAATAGGTTATAGATATCAGAATGCTAATGAATTTCATGGAGTAACTATCTATGTTTTCAACCAAAAGAAGCACGCCTTAGGTATAATTTGAAATGTTTCGAAGCAAAAATAAAAGGCCACAATAACTGGTTTATCATAACGAATTCAGTAATAAACTGTGGATTTCTTTTGGTTGTTCAAGTTGGGCGATATATATGAAGGCCGGAAATACTTTAAAAAGTAATTTCATGGTTTATATGAGTAGGGAAAATTGGGCCTTAATGTGTAGATGCTGAAGTATCACTTGCCTCCATCATACATTATGGGATCGGCCTTCCGTTGATTTAGACGGAATCTCCTCTGCGAAACAAAATTAAATGTTGCCGTAACTAACCTGAAATAGGAAAAACGCCATAAACTACCATTTTCCATGAACTAAACGACATGATTATAGTATATCCCGAGTCCACTTGAAAAGTTCCCAGAGAGCACTTATTTGTTTTTCACCTCTCTAGAATATGTTGCTTGATTCAAAATTAAGAGCCGTTTAACGACAAAAGAAGGCTCAAACTTTAATCAAGCAATATTTTTGGATGCGTATCATGAGACATCATTGAGCTAAAACCCAGCTAATTGTAACAAACATATGACGAGGTATTATCTATTCGTTTTTTCAGTTGTTACTTGTGAGAGTCCCTCAGACACGGATGTTTTAGATACAATGGCCACCATAAATAATTATCGTCCGCAAATAAAACGATAGGCGCGACAATAAAATTAAGTGCTGGAATTCAAGTCGAGTAATTGATACAAAGTTCAGTTGACATGCGAAGATCATTTTGGAGGAAATTTAATTATATTTAATGACATTTAATTTGGCTTGCATGTTATTTTTAAAGCACGCTATCATTTTAGTCAACGCTTATATATTTGAAAGTTCAAATCAAGCAGGACCTCAGGCAATAAATGTCACTGTTGCTAAAAATGATAATAATTGCTAATGGTCATTTTGTTTGTATCAGAACATCGATGGACGTAAGCACAGTCACACTGGACATACTCATATTAATAGGGCAGAGATCACCGATATAATTTAATGTGCTTTTTGCATTGCTATCAGATATAGGTGGTGATGGTTTAAGTCTAAATCACCTAAAATTTGACAGTTACTTGAGGATTGTTTACAAGTTGATGTAGTTGGCCGACCTGAGAGTGGAATTCCTTTTCTCTGGACTTCTCGACTTATTACAACTGTTCGGACCAGTATGGGATTAGACTTAAGGATATGTAAGACATAAAAAGCTTTCGCGTCTGAGAGGATTGCAAAGAAGCTTTAAAATAATAGTGATGACGACGTATTCTTCTAGTAAATTGTCAAAAGCAACTCTAAAGTTGAGGTTCAAAACGAGTGGGAAGTGCAACTGAGATAGCAAACGCCAGCAAATCGGAAATTTGGATGGTGAAAGCTCTGTACTTTCTTTCAGCCAACAAAATTAGGATAAAATACATGCAAGCTAACATACTATTTAAAGGGAATTTCGCAAAAACCTAAACCAATCCTAAATTAATCACGATGGCCTACCGTAACTGCAAATGACAATCGATTGAGAAATTATTATAGCTATCAAAATCTGCCATCAGTGTTTCAAGACTACCACTCACTGCAAAATTAAACGTTGCAGCTACAGAAGCAAGAATATTTATGCTGGATAGAGGTCGACACTCGGTGTTAAATGGAAGCTTGAACTTAATGTTTTACCTCATTTCGGCAATGATCGTTAACATGCCAATTTAGATAGAATAAAACGATATAAAAAAAGGATTTCCCCAAATATAATGCACCCGCGTAATTTTCAAAAATATTAGGCAAAAACCCTGTATTGACAAGCAACTGACGATATGAAACATAATTTAATTAAATCACATATAACTCTACTTTAAATAGGGGTGGGATCTGGGAGTTGAAATATCCTAACGGAAACTGCTATTTTGCCGGTCGGACATCGGAATGTGGGCTCTCGGGTACTACCAACGGTCTCGTGGTAGATTCTAGGCGAAACCTACTACAGTGGCCTAACCTGAACCCTGCCCCCAAATCCAATCTTAAGCACCCAAGCCTTCACCCAAATCCTAAATTACAAAACCATAACCATAACTTTTACCCCAGGACTGACCCCCCTGCACTTAACTCGAGCCCCAACTCTCCTAACACTAGCCCACCTCCTAACCCCGTAAGTAAACCTTTCTCCCAGACTTTCCGGTAAGATCAAGTCTAATAGGGGATCTTGCACGATTAATTTGTATTTAAAAAGCGCCTTAATAAGCAGATATCTTGGAACTCAAAAAAATAAAACGACCTTTTCACGAATTTTAGAAGAGGTTTACCGTACGCATATTTTGACCCTTCATTCAACTCAACAGAATGTTTCATTAACGTAATATGCTGTATACTATTTGCTGTTTTCTGAGTGTTTCCAATTTATGGTTTATCACCGACATCCTTTATTAGTGATCTCATTAATTTGGCATCTATGGTATATGTATATATAGATGTATATAATAAGAGGGCATTGCCTTAACAAACTAAAAAACTTAGACAAATAAATCCATCTGAGATTCAAAAACGTTGCGCAGATGGAGAATAAGAATGTACTCATGGTAATAACTTTCCTTCTGGAAGGTGTCACTCAGACCTTTCAAAAGTTTTTCCATGCAGAAGATGATCAATTAGAGGTCTATAAAACCAAGAATGTCTTTATGCAAAATCAAAAGAGGCTGGAACGAGAGACTTTATATGATTACGCATCGGATTGCAATCACTAAGATTTTGGGTTGGCACAACAGTTTGAAAATTACTCGTCTCATGTTCTATTGCATGCGGAGTTAATTTTAAATGTACTTCTCGTCTTAATTGAAAACGATACTTATAAAATAAGAAATATGCTTTCACGTTTGATACGCGCGATCAGCTGTAAAGGCAAACGAAATTACGCAACTCTTTTAAGGCTTATTCAAACGCTTTATTTGTAGACGTTGCACATACAGTCAATTCTATTCATGGCGTACACACTAATAAACTTTAATTGTAAGACTGCTTGTTTTAGCAAAAACAAAATTCAGATTTCTGGGCAAAAGAGAAAACTAATATTGTAGCCGTCATCTGAATGAAGACTTATTTAAAAGTATGGTCCATAATCATATCAGGCTATCGGTGACTGATTGTGCTAAGAGGATTTTGACACATTATTAAGGGATACAAATATTCTGTAACCGGTTTTGTAAACTGTAACCTTATATTTCGTTTATGCTGTTTGTTTTAATTACTTTTTGGAAACTGTGGCATATTACGGACCTCTCGTTACTAATGTTTGCTGCTCCGCCAGTTGTCAAGTCTTATGTTTCATTAACTATAGAAAACTGGAACCACCTCACAATCGCTTACGGCTTCAAGTGAACTGCAGCAGCACTTTAAAGACAAACTTACTTTGACAAATATGGTGAAGTTGGCTCATTTTTTGCCAGTACGAAACTGGCTCTAAGATCGCGGTTCCAGGCAGTAAGAGTGCGCAAATCGTAGTTGATCTGGTCAATTAGCGTCACGATGTTCGAGATATGTTCGTCTATATGATTGATCATTCCGTCGTTCAATTCGGAAAAACGTCGACAAAACAGAGGATCCGACGGCTGAAGTTGGGAGTTGATAATGATCTTTGTCCAAGAACCCTCATGAGCTTGTGAGCTATTGCGCACAGCACGGAGACTGGAATATGACTTAAGCCGGATTTCCAAGAGCTAAATGAGAACAAACAGGGCGAACATATTACGCGAGATAATAAGGGTATTTATTCATGGAATTTTCCGCGGGTGTTGATATCTGCCGTTAGCAACTTTTGCATACAACGTCTAGACGTGTGATATTAAGGACTTTGCATCAGGTACGTATGGACTGGTGTAACAGTTTACAGTGTATGTATTATTTATAAAGTCCCCTTAAAGACTAGGAAAAATAACTTTGCTTTTTAAAAAATATCTTTAGGCTTAACTTCGTTAGTTCAATCTTATTTAAAGAATAATATCATGATTTTGTAGCATTATTATCGGTATTTGTGGACTTTTAACATTATTTGCTATAAAATGAGAATTATTGCAGTTTTGCGTAAAAGTTTGTCTTACAGTCAATGCGTGGTATTTGGAAACTTATTGAAATAAAATATTAAAAGACCTAGAAAACAAATACCCTACGTTGCGTGTGAGGTCCCGAGGTAAGGTACGCGTTCCACTTCCAAGACCTCGGGCGAGAAAAAAACTGTCAATGACCAGTAGCTCTAGTTCCTTTTGACTAGAATGGCCTCCAATGATTGACAGGTCTTCAGACTGCTGGGCCCAGGATTTCCACTTTTCGCTCGCACTTGCAAGATAGCGATAAAGAGTATTAGCCAACTCCTGCACCTCCTTCCGACAGCTTGTGTTAGACATTCTGGCAGCTGGAATCGAATATACAGACACTGCCCGGTGACTGCTAACAAGAGCGAAGTTGTTCAGTTCTCTTCTCAATGTAATCAGGTAGCCATCGATGAGGCTCCAAGATGTGTTTAGTAAGCCGCGAATCTTGCATATTTTCCCGGTTAAAGAGTGAACAGCGTCGTATGCGGTACGATTTACCGCACGTAAGAAAGCCCTTTGTTGTATCAGGATTCCTTTCGCCATCTATGTTCAAAAAAGCAAAATAAACTGTGGAGAAATTTATAAATAAGATTTATTCTATTAATACGATATATAGGTGAGTTGAAACTACTTGAAAGGATACGGTTTTCAGGTAACTCAACCTCCGCATACACCGAATACTTCATTATTTTTGTCTGTTAGACGCTAATAAAGGCTCTGAAGCTGACATTTTTAAAAGGCCATCAGGTTGGTTTACTTTTTCAAAATGGCGATATATGGTTATTATGCACCGAGCACCCGATTTCCTTTCGCGACTACCTTAACGTCATGTTACACGACAGATCTTTTTAAAAAATGAAACTGAGTTTATAAACTGGGATTAAGTAAGTACATTGTGGAATTTAATTAGATATAGGTCACACATCTCTGGTAGTAACCGGAAACTTCGGCCACAGACATCGGAGAGTTCAAATCAATCAATAATGTTTCCACTGACTTTCTTGGAAAGACTTTTTCGAAAACTCAAAAGGATCTTTTTTGGAAAGTGTACTACTTCCTACAGAAGTCATTAATTTTGGGAAACGCCTCGTAGTTTAAATTTGTAACTGAATACGTTGGCTAGCAAAGAAGTCCAAATTGACGAAATGATTTTAAAAAACATTTAACACAGCAGTAAGACCCCTCTGGTGTAACAGATGGGTAGAGAATTTGGCTGCCAGGGTTACGTACTCCATTGCGAATAATGCAATAACAAGTTTGTACGGAATCATTTAACCTGTCCAGCGTTCTAGATACTTGTAGCAATGCTATTCTGTGCGTCGTTTGTGGAAAGAAATTTATGACTAGTAATCAGGTATGGCGAAAGCAGACACCTGGAATATTCTAAACTTTAAAGCCGTCTCGTATGAATTAGTTAGTACGGGTAAAAACTGCATCTTATAACTATAGAGTTTATATTTAGGAAATTTTCCCTTGGTCTCATAATTCTTTTCTTCCCTTTATATACATTTTGCAGTTTGTATATGAAAGAAGAGAGCGGAATAATTCTGCAATACACGGAGAATTGTTTCGACAAGAGAGTGAGTGTACTACTGATTATGACATTTAAATTTTCGTAAACAATTTCAGCTGCTTAATATGAGCTCCGAACTTGGCTTAATATTAGCAAAACGGTCTAGGATAAAGTCATAAATAGGAAGGGTACCAACCACAATAAAGCGGTTCCCAGGGTTTGACTATATTTTTTAGGTTGTTATGGAGCCAAAAGGCCTCGCGACATAAGATTTCAACATAATCATTTTTATAAACCGTTTCTTAGTTGCCACTAAATAAAATGAATAAAACCGGTAGCATTCAGGGATCAGTTTAAATCGTGCTCGAATGTAGTTGACTTATACATATGTTTCCGGGTGTCCTTTTAAAAATATTGCCTTCCTTTATCATTGGTCTTATGCATTATTTGGTCGATGGTTGTTCTGGTACGAGTGTATACCAAGTGCTCAAACATCCCTATTGCAACTGCTCAAAATTTAATGAAGGTTTTAACTGGTTTAATGCATAGTTCCTGACCTGCCCTAGATAGTACCTCTTCCGCGTAACAGTCGCAGGCTAGGTTGGGGAAAAAATAATGGAATTTTGCCGTTAGCTCATATATTGAACGCCACCAATAAGTTCATCATCATTGGAAAACTTACCTAGGCCGTCTTAATCAAACGCTCCAGCCGTCCAATTGTCGAATTTAAAATCTCGAACAAAGCATTCGCTGGCTGTTTCCAGTGAACAGCGATTGTGCCTAAAAAACTTTTTTTTCTGTGCTATTCTTACGATTTCGGCTGACTGGATACTTCGGATGGATCTTCAAATTTAGAACACTGCGGTTTTTTCAGCTTTCATACCTTGTTTTATTATTTTGATTACGCTAGATCTTGCCACATTGTGATCCGATTTAGCTTATGCATTTAACTAATTATGAAGTTACTGGAAAACGTATGCATACATTACTGCTACAACAGTTGTACACTAGAGCTTGTGAGGCCCAAGAAGTCGGTTGTCTTAAGCCCACTCGTGTATGCTGCATACAATTTATAACCCAGGATCCCCTTGTCTACCAACAAACATCAGCAGTATTTTATATTTAACAAAAAACCAAGACGCACTGACACAACCTTCGTAATGTCCATTTCTATTTCGTCAACTTGAGCGTTCGTATCAACGATCCATCATGACAACATAAACAGCTTTGCCCGTAAAATCTCAGTAATTACATGGATGTTGTCGAACGTAAAGCAATGTCGTCAAACCGAGCGTCTGTTTTTTGATTTCTGTCGTCAGCCATGGTGCTTCAGCTATACGATTTTGTTATTGCTGTGAAATACATGTTTACCGAACACAGAGCATAGTTTTCCAATGGGTCTTACTCTGGGGTCAAAATGCTTATCTGTTGCCGTACACACTTTCTGCTGTTAATTAGACGAAGGACAACGTTCAAATCCACTCTCTGTGACCATTATATAAGCATCGAATGAAGACCTTTCGCGTTCGACCAACCTCGTTACTCGAAAATGCACAAACAGTCGGATTCATGGTCAGTTGTGAAAACAATCTCATTTCAACTCGAATATTTACAACGATTTCGAGAATAAAAAGCCTCACTGGAAACTCTGCTGCATTTTCGCTCTTCCATATCAGAGAAAATTAAAAGGGGTATACATTCCAAGTTCATGTTTCCTCACTTCTCACTAGGTGTATTTTATTTTCTAAACATTAATTATACTGCTGTAACTAGGAAGGCAATAATATGCCAAAGCATCTAGAGGAAAGTTCCTTTTTCCAGCCGACTAATATATGCACAAAATCTTTGGGGGATCATGTACTCTGAAGTAAGTTAGCAGACACTTTTTTAATTATTGCTACTATTTATGCATATAAAGTTCATTCGTTCGCTGGTATAATAACAAATAACTTGCTTTTCAAAGCTTTCATTGCCTGTCTAAGTAAAAGAATAGCCAAACCTCCTAGATAAATGCCCTGACTAGATTCTAATCTCAAGATGTTTTTTCAAACAAACCTTTCCTGAGTCACGAGTCCACCTGTTCTTTGACGCAAACGGCAGGAAGGTTTCGTAAAATGCTGACTTCATGGTCTGCGTTACCGAGTGAATATGCATAGGACTCCGACCTAGGATAAAATATTATTACGCACACGGTAGATGTTAAAATCAATATGTTATCTGATAAAACAGTTTTCGAATATCGTTAAGGGTCGAGCATATTTTGGAGGACATGCCGAGCGCATCCGCTTGTAGAACCACATATGCAAATAGACTTACATGTCTGAGAAAATGCAAATTGCTGCGGGTCCTAAAAATTAATTAATTTGAATTGCTAAGTGAAAATATTCAAAAATGCAAAATGCGCACAAATGATGGTTGGGGTAAATTTTCCATAACAACATTATAAGACCATAAAAACAACCATCGGCCTAAAGGGTAAACACACAAAACCCTTTAAGTAAACGGACGCTGACTAATCTTTTAAATGTACTAGTCCACCCAAATAAACATTATATATTTTTATTTGCATACTCAAAAGCATTGATCAAAAGGTAAGATGAATAACACAGGAGAATAAAGTTTCAAACGGGCACCATCATTTTAACTGAGACGGAAATGTAAACGTTTTTTATGTGCTAAAACTTAACAGGTCTTTTATGGCTGCTGTTAGGAGGAATGTTCGCCTTCAAAATGCTTTTTAATCCCTTCTTACAAAAAATGTGTTATCACACAAAATGTTAACCGCGATCCTGAAGTGCGTTGCCAATTCAAAGGGAATTACTTAAGTGGGGTTATTAAGTTAATCATTGTTTTGTGCAATACCAAGAAATTCAAGCCATGTCACGATGTCGGTCTTCTAAAGAGCTTCTTATCGCTTTCCCACAGAAGCAACGTTTCGTCAAAAATAACTGCTTAGGTG